TGACATTCTCCCAATCCTCTTCTGGATCATCTAAATGCTCTCTAGCAAACTTCAGACGGGCCTGGACATGTACTGGCTTAAGCAGGGGGACACGTCTGGCACTGCAGGATTTGAGTCCCTGGCGGCGTAGTGTGTTACTGATGGTAGCCTTTGTTACTTTGGTCCCAGCTCTCTGCAGGTCATTGACTAGGTCCCCCTGTGTGGTTCTGGGATTTTTGCTCACCCTTCTTGTGATCATTTTGACCCCACGGGGTGAGATCTTGCGTGGAGCCCCAGATCGAGGGAAATTATCAGTGGTCTTGTATGTCTTCCATTTTCTAATAATTGCTCCCACAGTTGATTTCTTCACACCAAGCTGCTTACCTATTGCAGATTCAGTCTTCCCAGCCTGTTGCAGGTCTACAATTTTGTTTCTGGTGTCCTTTGACAGCTCTTTGGTCTTGGCCATAGTGGAGTTTGGAGTGTGACTGTTTGAGGTTGTGGACAGGTGTCTTTTATACTGATAAGGAGTTCAAACAGGTGCCATTAATACAGTTAACAAGTGGAGGACAGGGGAGGCTCTTAAAGAAGAAGTACAGGTCTGTGAGAGCCAGAAATCTTGTTTGTTTGTAGGTGACCAAATACTTATTTGCCACCATAATTTGCAAATAAATTCTTTAAAAATCAGACAATGTGATTTTCTGGATTTCTTTTTCTCATTTTGTCTCTCATAGTTGAGGTATACCTAGGATGAAAATTACAGGCCATTCTCATCTTTTTAAGTGGGAGAACTTGCACAATTGGTGGCTGACTAAATACTTTTTTGCCCCACTGTATATATATATATCTATCTATCTATCTATACCTATATATTTGTGTGTGTATGTCCACATCTGTAGCCTGTTATTGTCTCATTATGCCACACTGTGAATTAATTAAAAGTAAATATATAAGCTATGGTGAACACACTTCTGTCCATCACACAGAGGGCTGTGCCTCCTGTCATCATTAATGGACATCCCTTTAAAATGACCGCTCAGAGGAGTAGGCGGATCGAGGCCTATACTTAGAATGGTACTCTTTCTCATATACCAACTTGTTGTCTTCACGTGATAAAACAGGTTTTAGATATGCAATCATATAAAGGTGATATAAGAACATTTATTTAAGAAAATAGAAACTTCTGTATCATGTTACATAAGAATCTCACTGATGTTGTACAAACCTTTCTGGCCGTTGCTGACGGGTGTTGAGGGCACGGTCATCTTTACAGGGGTGACAGTGTTGGCGAGCGGCAGGACGTTACTGTTTGCCGCCTTTGGCCTCTGTCTGGGAGCTATTGATGTTTCCGTCGGGCCCACGGATTCTGTTATCCTGGGACAAAGGAGTCAAAAGTTGATATTTAAAAAAAAAGCAAGCTTTGCAGTGCCGGCAATCCTGAAGACTACTCCATTCTTAAATTAAAAAAATGTGAACTATCAGCCTTAAAATAATTTTCTTTAATGTTGTATTTATCCATCATTGTATATCACAATGATATATTGTAATTTTAAGGGTGTCTATTACCATCTGGCCGGGGACAACAGCTGGAAATTAGCCATGTCTGCTAAAGCTGCACCATTTACTGTTTTTGTGACAGTTCATCGATGGGGACTGTCCACGAAACTATAAATAAATAAACTAAACTAAACAAGTAAAAACCATGAGTTATCAGTACCTGGCTTTCGTCATGCTCCTTCTAGCAGCGACCTCACTCGCAGTTAGAGGCTCTGGAAGCGATGTAGGGATGGGAGAGTTCTGGAAGAAGGACAGGAAATAAATGTTTAATGCAAATATATGCAGACGCTATGGCCACACAGACGCTTCAATGTGGTTACTTACAAAGAGATTTGGCACTGGACACTCTTTCCCAGCTAATTTGAAGGCCAAGTAGGACACTTGTGTAAATGTCTGGTCTCTCTCCGGGTCAGTTCAAGCATATACCCTGGGAAAAAGACGAAGATATGTGTTTTATATCAGTGAACATGATAATGTGCTTGATCTGCAACTTCTTTGCTTTGGCCACATTGGTGGAGCTGTTGGTCAATTATTTAAAAGGAGATCCACGGCAAGAATGCCATTTAGGCGAGGTTCATAAGCTCCAGTATTAAAGCCCTAGTAAAACATGCCATGTAAATGCATTAAACAAACCTAAACGTAACAGACAACTAGACTTAACAAAAAATTATTCCAACATTAAGAGCAATACAAAAATACTACTCTACATCAACTTCTGTTCTACCTTCTGAGAATTGCACAAGTAACTATTCATTTGACAACAGAAAAGCCTAAAGAGTTTATAGCTCAATAGAAATAGTAAATGATTCTGAGTGCCGTGATTTCCTACTCCAAAATCATTATATATAACACTTTCTGACTTAATTAAAGTCACAAACTTACTGATTAGACAGGGCAACTGAACGAGTATACTTGGAGTCATCTGGAACGACAAAGGTTCCGTCACAAATGGCAACTGACTCTCCCCAAATGGAAGTGAGAAGAAACACAGCTTGTACAACAAGCATCCAGTGCCTGTGGAGGAAAACAGAAACCGTCAGGAGAAACACAGGAACCCAGAAGCTTTATGGCTGTGGGTCACTGTACATGTTCATATGGCACTGCTTACAGAAATACTTGCAGAGTGGTGCAGTAATATGTTCTAAAAACCCGGAAATACATTTTACCACTTCAGTTCTCCCCGTCCAGAAGACTAATGTTGTTTTTTTATTGTGTCTGGCGTTAAAAGCACGGAAGTAAGGTTTGTGGTTACCAAAAGCTGAAGAGATGCTCATGTTGTGCTTCTTCGATATCAGTAATACCCCACTGATAAATGTCCTAAGCATATATTGTGGTCCATAAAACCGGCAGTTGCCCTAACAAGCGACTATATCCGTCGCCGCGATCACAAGTCCTCTCTAGCTCAGCGGTGATGATGCGTAGTCACACCGGACTCCGTGATTTAGTTGGTTATACGCATTAAGTTAAGCCTTGCTCTTTCTGCAATTGCCATTTAAGCTCTGAAGAATCACAAAGGCCGCACTTCATGTTGGAGATTATCCTGCTGAACAAAACATATTCGGTAAATCATAAACCGTAAACATAAATGTGTTGCCCACAAAGGTTTATTTTCGCAAAAAATCTAATGAAGAAATCCCTCATGCTTTTTTGTGATGCTAAATCCCTGGGTGGGATACATAAATACTCAT